AGAAGGAGGAGGAGGAGGACGACGACGACGACGAGGGCCCAACACCACAGGATGGTTGGGCCAAAAATGTCATTCCTCCTTCCTACACCCGCATCGACATCATCACAATCACATACATCCGCCTTTTTGGCATCGTCATTTTGGTTTCGCCACAGCGGCTCACCCGCTGAAGCGGTGCGCGTATCCGCTCTGACCCCGCATAAGTGATATGAGTGCATACCTTTGCCAGTGGCCCAAATCTGCGGTCTGATGTCAAGCCCGCGTTCGCGCGCCCCGCGCACTCCCCCGCTCTCGAGAGCCATGACAGAGGCCGAGGCCGCGCGCGCCGCAGCCGAGACGAGGCGCGCCCCGCGCACTCCCCCGCTCCTGCCGGGAGCCATGACAGAGGCCGAGGCCGTGCGCGCCGAAGCAGAGACGGGGCCCGCCCCGTATACTCCCCCGAGCCCGCCGCCTCCGAGCCCGCCGAGAGCCATGGCAGAGGCCAAGGCCGCGCGCGCCGAACCCGAGACGATGCCCGAGCGCGGCGGCAACGACTACCTGATCGAGATTTTCCAGCCGCCTGAGAAGCGGGTCAAGAAGGTCACGCAGACGTGGAAGTGCATCGAGGACGTCACGAACCCGTGGTTGAAGGCCGCCTTCCTCACCGTGTATGGTTCAGGAGGGTCCCCCTCTCCAGACATCGAGCAGTGCGACCACAGGCATCCGAAGAAGGCCACGTTCTCAGTGACCCCCGAAGTAGAGACTGAGTGGGTCGACCCACGCGCGGAGGTTAATTGAGGGCGGGAAAAAAGCATCGTCAATCATCACCATCACCATCACCATCACCGTCATCATCATCATCATCATCATCATCATCATCAGCATCATCATCATCATGATCACCCTCGTCCGTCTCATCATCATCATCATCATCATCAACATCATCATCATCATCATCATCATCAGCCTCATCATCATCACTCTCACTCTCACTCTCTTGATCCTCCCACTCCGCCTCCTATTCCTCCTCCCTCCTCCATTGCACAACCCATTCAAAGACGAGCCCGAGGGGCCGCGGCGGGTAGGGGCGTCAAGGAAGCTCGGGAACTTACGGAACTTATTTGGGACTTATTTTTCAGAAAAGATAACTTACTGGGAACATCTTTTCCCATAAATAGTTGCAGCGGTAAGTTCCCTAAGTCCACTAGTCCACTTGTGTGCTCGAGTACTCGATTTGTTCAGCTATATCTGACACAAGAGCCCCGACTGGTATCAGAAGAGGTCTCCAAGATGACCCAAGAAGCCTCCAAGATGCCCCAAGAGGCCTCCAGAAGCACTCCCAAGAGGGCCCCAAGAGGCAAAATTCAATACATTTTCTTAGGTTTTGGACAGAGTTGGGCGTTTCAACCTTTTCGGTTCCCCGACGCTCCTAAACGGCTCAAGACGCCTCCAAAATCGCCCCACGAGGGCCCAAGAGGTCCTCAAAAAGGCCCCAAGACGGCCCAAGACGGCTCCAAGACGGCCCCAGAGGCCTCCAGGACGGCCCAAGAGGGCCCCAAGAACGCCCCCAGCACGGTCCAAGAGAGGTCCGAGACGCCCGAAGATCGCTCCACGACGCCCAAGATGGCCTCCGGACGGCCCACGACGTCTCCAAGATGGCCCAAGAAGCCTCCAAGATGCCCCAAGAGGCCTCCAAGAAAACTCCCACGAGGGCCCCGAAAGGCAAACAACTGTGTTTTTTTCCATTGGTTTTGGACAGAGTTGGGCGTTTCAACCTTGTCAGTTCCCCGATGCCCCTAAACGGCTCAAGAGGCCTCCAAGATCGCCCCACGACGGCCCAAGAGGCCCCCAAGAGGGCCCCAAGACGGCCCAAGACGGCTCCAAGACGGCCCCAGAGGCCTCCAGGACGGCCCAAGAGGGCCCCAAAAACGCCCCCAACACGGTCCCAGAGAGGTCCGAGACGCCCGAATATCGCTCCACGACGCTCAAGATGGCCTCCAGACGGCCCAAGACGTCTCCAAGATGACCCAAGAAACCTCCAAGATCCCCAGGAGGTCTCCAAGTGCATTCCCAAGAGGGCCCCGAGAGGCAAAAACTGTTTTGTTTTTTTTGTTTTTTCTCCTGTGGTTTTGGACAGATTTGGGCGTTTCAACCTTTTCGGTTCCCCGACGCCCCTGAACGGCTCAAGAAGCCTCCAAGATCGCCCCAAGAGGGCCCAAGAGGCCCCCAAGAGGGCTCCAAGATGGCCCAAGACGGCTCCAAGACGGCCCATGAGGCCTCCAAGACGGCCCAAGAGGGCTCCAAGAACGCTCCAAGAACGCCCCAAGAGGGGGTTCACGAAACAGAATTTCGAGCTCTCGGCCCTTAGAGGCCCCCGGGAGGCCCCGAGACGCCCTCAAAGGCCTCAAGAGGCCCCCAAGAGGCCCTCAAGAGGCCTCAAGAGGCCTCCGAAAGGCCCTCTGGAGGCCTCCAAAAAACCCTCAGGAAGCCCCCAGGACGCCAGCCAGACGCGACTTGGGAAACGCGGGTCGGGGTGGTCCTCCTCCCCCGCGTTCGGCCTCCAGCCTCACGCCTCGAACCTCCACGACGACGACGACGACGCCGGCGGGCGGCGGCGGCGGGCGGCGGCGGCGGCGACGACGACGACGACAAAGGCGCTCCTCATCGCTCCTCATCCCCCTCCTCCTGCCTCCTCCTCCTCCTCCTCCTCCTCCTCCTCCTCCTCCTCTTCCTCCTCCTCCTCCTCGTCCGTAGCCGTTTTGGTTCAAGCCCCTTTCGGGTCCAGGAGGGGCCCTTGAGGGCGGCGCACTTGAAAGGGGCGCAGCCGCCCCGAGCCGCGGGGCGGGCCATGTCGTCTTCATTCCGAGGGTTGTGAGGATCAAGACCCGCCAGTAGAAGATGGCGACAAAGGTCGGGAGGCGCGATTTCTTCGCCAAGTCGTCACGGGAAAGGCTTCTGAAAGCCAGGAAGAATGCGAGGTGAAGATGGACGTCATCAGCACGTCATTGTGCACTCTCGCAAGCATCGTCGGTGCTGTGTTGATCAAGGCCCGCCAGGAGAAGATGGCGGACAAGGTGCTCTGGCAGTCCAGACGCGTGGCGCACGCCGCGCGGGGCCGAGGTTCGGGTGGCGCATGCTGCTTGGGCCCGGCAGCACCAGAGGCAAAATGCATGGAAAAGGTATTCGGCGAGCTCGTGGAAGTCGGCAAGGTTGCCAGTCACGAACCGTCGTAGATGGCTCCTGAATCGCCAGGCTCGAGTGGGTGAGCACCTACCTCACTTAGGCGAGGGGGTTGGCACCTGCCTTTTCTCCGCGCTGTCGAGGCCCCATTGGGGGCCTTGAAGGCGCGGCTGGGTTCCCTGGGTCGTCCTCGGGGTTCCCGGTTTTCGGCCCTTGGTGGGCCCTCCCTTGGCCCTTTGGGGGGCCTCCGGCGGCCTCCGCTTCTCGCTCCGTCCTGGGCCGGTGTTGACCCCCTCGGGACGCGCGGGGCCGCTTGCCCTGCGCGGCAGGGACCCCTGGAGTGGGTCCGCATCATCAGAGTCCTCAGAGTCCTCCTCCTCCTCGTCGTCGTCGTCCTCCTCCTCCTCCGGTCCAATTAGAAAAGAGATGGTAAGAGAAACGCCACAAGAAAGTGTTCCTTCACGCCCGTGTCCGAAACGCCAGAGGACATCAGGACGATAACAGAGCCAATGTTAGCATTCAAAGCCCGCCACCCTCCGACACGAGGGTTCCCCTATCGCATAAGATGTCTCTTCCCCCGGCTCGGACGGCCCCACAGCGGGATACCACGGGTAACACGCCCCCACGATGGCACCAAAACCGTCAAAAAACTGCAAACATCTAGAAGCCCCATGAGAAAACATTAACACATTTATCGACAACTACACAGCTCCCGACGCCGCAGCTCCACACTGCAAACGACCACTCGGACAGGCGACCACGGTGCGACATTATGGGCCGGCGGAATGAGCGAAGCGATTAAATAAAATCGCAATTTCGATTTGTATTTTCCTCGGCGAGAATGATGTTCGAACTCGCCGCCCCTTTCCCCCGACCAATTCGGTTTGGGACGGGAGAGAATCAGCTCTCAGGGGGAAGGGGGGCCATTTTATGATCGGAGCATGGAGCGCATCCCCAAGAGGACCTGATGGCCCCAAAGGAACCCGAAAGCACGTTGAGACAGCGGGCCAATCGGCGCCAAGCTTTAAGACTGCCTAGGAATGGTCCCAAGACGCCCCAACATGGTGCGACGGCGGCCCCCAAATAACCCAAGATCACCCAACTGGCACGGGACACTGTATTGCAGCATTGCTGGTGCCGTCTGAATTTGCTGTGGTCCTCATCACCCATCTGGGACCAGCGTGGCGACATGTAGGGTTTCGGCCGTGTTTAGGCCGAGGTGATCTGGGCGCATACGCCAGGATCGGCGCAACCAGCCTGCATCCAGGCCAAGCAACCGAGCCAACTCGCGACCCACTGTACTGAGTACTCATAGCGCAGGCCGTGCGCCTACATCCTCATTGTCCTACGATTCCCCCCGTTCATCCCCCTGCTCGTCCATCTTTCTTCGCGCCTCTGGAGAACAGATTCGAACTGAAACGGGGCAACCATCTCATCCTCTTGTTCTTCTCTTCCTCCTCCTCCTCCTCCGCCTCGTTCTCCTCGTTCTCCTCCTCCTCCTCCTTTTCCTCCTCCTGCTCCTCCTCTTCAACGTCCTTGTGCATCCCAAAAGAATCTGTTCACCGGCCACAATTCCGCATAGGGCAACACCGGCCTATCGGCCAAAGTTTGAGCCACGACTCCCCATTCTTGGTATGTGGTCGGGGTCCGAAGATGGGCAAGAATGACTAGCACACACACACACACACGTCTCACGGGAGTCCCCCCCAAGGGGCAACGTTAGGGATGGACCAGCTAAGCGGGGGAATGATCGGCATGAGCTCGGCGATGCGTCGTCGATAGATCGGCGACAGGCGTCCGATAGCGAGTCCGCACGTTTCTGGACGGGGTGGGCTGTCGGGCCCCTGCCGGCGATCAATGGGCGACTCGGACCCTAACATTGCCCTTGCCCCTGCCCCTGCGCACCGTCCTCCACGTCCTTTTTGCGCTCGGAATCCAACACACCGTCCGTCTTGATGGCCGCGAGCACCTCGTCGGCGGCACCCCGAAGGACGTCTGGCGCCTGAACCCGAGGGGTGTGGCCCGGGGAGCAACGACCCTCCTGGGGCGGTGCACAATGGGACCTGTATGGGACACCATCGACAATTTGATGCGAAAAGGGAAGAAGATGGCGACGACGAGAAATACGCTGCAGCACGGCAGAGTTGATCCGCACGGGCGCTCGGATTGACTGGGGCGCGCGACTAACGAATTGTCTGGCTGCAAGAGAGGATGCGGGGAGGAGGAGCGGCCGCAGATGACAGGAGACAGGAAAAGAACACTCACGGCTGAAAGCATTTCAAGATAGACGAGCTGGAGCGGCCAGCCGGGGCTGAGGTGTCCTGGCAACGGACGCGGGACGGCATCACGGCCACACCAGGGACCGAAGCCAGGGCTGCGGGCGCTGGACGAGTGAAGAGCAACGTGAACCAGTACACCAAGAAGGGGACCCGCAGGGCTGAGGAACACGAGCATCCAATTGTCCATCACGTTGCTGGGGAACGTCAGGTTTTGCTGCAGAGGGCCGGCGCCTGCTGGATGCGGGACCAGCAAGGTCCACGCGAACCACAATGAGGCCCGTACTGCGCTGCGCCGAAGCGTTTGGGAGAGGAAGCATCTGGTTTGTCCGTCACGTTGCCGAGAGAACGTCAGGCTTTGCTGCAACAGGCGGGCGCCAGCTGGGGTGCAGGACTGGAAAGGTCCACGCGAAAACACCTAGCCCACACGGGGCTGCGCCGAACCGCGTGGGATGCAGCAAAAGCATGTCTGAAAGGGGCCACCAAGATGCTGACGAATGCCGAAGCGGCGCCAGCAGCAAACTTGGAGCGCCGGCTGGGAGCACGCGGCTGTAGCGGCTCAGCCGGCGCCATGGCGGCGCGGGAGGGGGGGAGCAGGAAAGCGACGGAAGAAACGAGAGAGACGAAAAGTGCTCCGACCGGCTGGCGCAAGCATCACAGACAGGCGGGGCGGGCAACAGCCCGGCCACACGGACAGCGAGGCGGTGGCAGAAGCCCGGCCGCAGGAGCGGCACGGCGCTGGCGGCCAGAGGGGCGGAAAGCGGGGTCGCACCCAACACGCAGCCCTTGCAGGGGGCCGCGCGCAGGGCAGGGCCGCCGGGGGTGGCGTGGCAGGGCGCTAGCGCGGAAGGCGCGAACGCGAGGGGAGGACAGGCCAAAGCCAGGCGCACCCTATTGGCGCAAGAGCATTGAAACATGGAAGCGTCCACCTTGGAGGGCAGACGCTCTGGCCAACGCGCCGAAATGGTGCAAACACGCGTCTTTTTGTTGTTTTCCAATTCTGCTGGGCACCCCCGCGGGTGCAGCAAAACAGCAACAAGTACACGCCTGGCAGCGACCAGGGAAAGTGAAGTCCCGTCGCGATCTGCAGAGGATGCCACTCCACTGATCCCCGTAAGAGGCGAAGCAAATAGACGACAGGATCGCGCATGGCAGCACTCCGAGAGGGCGAGGCCCCCTGGGTCTGCGCAAGACGGCATTCCGCATGACCTCCAAGGCGAATGACACAACTCCGGTGGACACCCAAAGCGCGCGGCAACGAGGCGACAGCTGCGCGCCTGGCAACACGCAGGGAGGGCGAGGCCCCGCTGGGGATGGCATGACGAAGCCCTGCTAGACACCCCAGGGGCGTGGCAAACTTGCGACTGAATCGTGCCTGGCAGCACCCAGGGCGGGCGTAACCCCCACCCACCCACCCACACCGTCCCTGCAACAAAAAACAGCAGAAGTTGTGGCATAATTACCTTGAACCACACGCGAGCGCACCAGCCTAGTCTTGCACTGTTTTTTGTCGGGGATTGCGTGTGCGTGGAGGGGGTCATATTTCCCACTGTGCGCTGTCCAACCATCCCCGCCACTGCCCGATGCTAAGCAACCGTAGGTGCACACCACCGACACCATGCTGGCCACACCGCCGATACCTCGCAATAGCTCGGGGGTATCTCAACATTAGCCCGATGTGTGATGCAACATGCTGTACCGCACCTGGCGCACTCTGCGCGTGTGGCGCACTTGGCGCGCCGAGAGCGCGTGGCACGCTTGGCGCACATGGCGCATCTGGACAACATGGCGCGCCTGGCACGCTTGGGCATCTGATACACCTGGCGAACCATGTTCGTGAAGCCTGCGAGCACTTTGCGTTGTCTTTGACGGGGACGGCGGGGGTGTCAGCATATTCCCTGCTGCGCGCAGGGCTACCATCCCTGACACAAATTATCCTGGCGAAAGACCCAACCATAAGCAATTGTTGGTAACGCGTTGTGGGTGCCGCTTTCGGTGGGGCTCCATATGGGGCCACGAAGCGCTGCCTTGGATGGGGGAACCGCATGCGGACTGCGCCACCGGGGCGGGCCTTCGGTGGAGCTCCCTATGGGGCTACGAAACGCTGCCCTGGGTGGGGGAACCGCATGCGAACTGCCCCACTGGGGCCTTCGGTGGAGCTCCCTATGGGGCCACGAAACGCTGCCCTGGGTGGGGGAACCGCATGCGAACACCCCCACTGGGGCCTTCGGTGGAGCTCCCTATGGGGCCACGAAACGCTGCCCTGGGTGGGGGAACCGCATGCGAACACCCCCACTGGGGCCTTCGGTGGAGCTCCCTATGGGGCCACGAAACGCTGCCCTGGGTGGGGGAACCGCATGCGAACACCCCCACTGGGGCCTTCGGTGGAGCTCCCTATGGGGCCACGAAACGCTGCCCTGGGTGGGGGAACCGCATGCGAACACCCCCACTGGGGCCTTCGGTGGAGCTCCCTATGGGGCCACGAAGCGCTGCCCTGGTGGGGGAACCGCATGCGAACACCCCCACTGGGGCCTTCGGTGGAGCTCCCTATGGGGCCACGAAACGCTGCCCTGGGTGGGGGAACCGCATGCGAACACCCCCACTGGGGCCTTCGGTGGAGCTCCCTATGGGGCTACGAAACGCTGCCCTGGGTGGGGGAACCGCATGCGAACACCCCCACTGGGGCCTTCGGTGGAGCTCCCTATGGGCCACGAAACGCTGCCCTGGGTGGGGGAACCGCATGCGAACACCCACTGGGGCCTTCGGTGGAGCTCCCTATGGGGCCACGAAACGCTGCCCTGGGTGGGGGAACCGCATGCGAACACCCCCACTGGGGCCTTCGGTGGAGCTCCCTATGGGGCCACGAAACGCTGCCCTGGGTGGGGGAACCGCATGCGAACACCCCCACTGGGGCCTTCGGTGGAGCTCCCTATGGGGCTACGAAACGCTGCCCTGGGTGGGGGAACCGCATGCGAACACCCCCACTGGGGCCTTCGGTGGAGCTCCCTATGGGGCTACGAAACGCTGCCCTGGGTGGGGGAACCGCATGCGAACACCCCCACTGGGGCCTTCGGTGGAGCTCCCTATGGGGCCACGAAACGCTGCCCTGGGTGGGGGAACCGCATGCGAACACCCCCACTGGGGCCTTCGGTGGAGCTCCCTATGGGGCCACGAAACGCTGCCCTGGGTGGGGGAACCGCATGCGAACACCCCCACTGGGGCCTTCGGTGGAGCTCCCTATGGGGCCACGAAACGCTGCCCTGGGTGGGGGAACCGCATGCGAACACCCCCACTGGGGCCTTCGGTGGAGCTCCCTATGGGGCTACGAAACGCTGCCCTGGGTGGGGGAACCGCATGCGAACACCCCCACTGGGGCCTTCGGTGGAGCTCCCTATGGGGCTACGAAACGCTGCCCTGGGTGGGGGAACCGCATGCGAACACCCCCACTGGGGCCTTCGGTGGAGCTCCCTATGGGGCCACGAAACGCTGCCCTGGGTGGGGGAACCGCATGCGAACACCCCCACTGGGGCCTTCGGTGGAGCTCCCTATGGGGCTACGAAACGCTGCCCTGGGTGGGGGAACCGCATGCGAACACCCCCACTGGGGCCTTCGGTGGAGCTCCCTATGGGGCCACGAAACGCTGCCCTGGGTGGGGGAACCGCATGCGAACACCCCCACTGGGGCCTTCGGTGGAGCTCCCTATGGGGCTACGAAACGCTGCCCTGGGTGGGGGAACCGCATGCGAACACCCCCACTGGGGCCTTCGGTGGAGCTCCCTATGGGGCCACGAAACGCTGCCCTGGGTGGGGGAACCGCATGCGAACACCCCCACTGGGGCCTTCGGTGGAGCTCCCTATGGGGCTACGAAACGCGTGAGAGGTGTGCCGAGAGCAGAGGCAAGGAGGGGGAGGAGGGAGGAGAGGAGGAAGGAGAGGAACGCGGGGCACCGTCTCTTCAAAACGAGGACCCAACACCACAGGATGGTTGGGAACAACACAATACAAATGCACCCCGCGGCTAAATCTGGATCATGCGCGGCCGCCCCGCGATCACTGTCAAGTGATTTTTGGCAGGGACGGCGGGGGGCGGTGGCGCGTGGCCTGCTGTGCGCAGGCCCACCAGGCACAATGATGGACATTTGTTTTGGACAAGGATGGTGGGGGCCGACATGTTTCCCGATGTGTGCTGTCACGTGCGCAGGCGCACCTGACGCACTCTGCACGTGCCCCGAGCGTGGCGCACCTGTCGAGGCTGGAGTGTGCGGCACACCTGGCGCACTCGGAGCACGTGGCGCATCTGGCGCACCAAGCGTGCCTGGCACGCTTGGGCCCCAGGTGTGCCTGGTGCGCGTGGCGCTCTTGGCCTATTTGAAGACGACCGCTGAACATGCTCAGGCTCGGGGGGGCTGGGAGGGCGGGTGGGTGGCTTGACCCATTCCCGTACCCCGTTCCCTGGGACTAGACGCCCCCCACCCCCCCGGGATGAGACTGGAGCGTCCGAAATATCACTAGAGATGGTTCCCAGATACCCCCGGGTGGCTCAATGTTGCCTCCAAGCTCTGGCAAAATGCCCCAATACTGCCTCCAGCGTGGTTCCAACATGCTCCCATACGGCCCAGATACCTCTCCAACTGACACTGAGCTTGCCAAGAGCGTTTCCGAGAGGCCCAAGCAAAACATCCCGACTGGCATACGAGGCCTTCAGGTGGCCTCGAAAATCAGTTCCCAAAGGGGCCCAGAAGGGTCCCAAGACGAAAGACCCAGGAAGGGGTTCCAAGAGAGCTCCGAGCTCTACCAACCAAAAGGCACTCCATGAGAGCTAGGAGGGCAACGCGGGCTGATCCCTCCGATGGTTCGACCAGTATCCCCCCCTCTTGGCTTCAATCTAGATTCCAACGACAACTCGCGCGAAATCGTTTATGGACGGGCTGGTGAGGGTACAGAACAAGTCGTGACTGTTCACCCTCTCATCGAAGCAGTCATCATTGTTTGCTGTCCTGAGCCTCTTCCTGCTCCCCTTCAGCCTCCATTTATATACCCGATCATCCTCCTCCATCCCATCTCATTTCATCATCAACTGTATCCAGAACAGCGTCAACGTAACCCGTCTCCACTTCCCTGTTGCTCTCCCACCTCCTCCCTCTCGTCCTCCTCCTCCTCATTCCTTCCTCCTCCCTCCTCCCTCCCCCCTCCTCCCTACTCCCTACTCCTCCTCACCCTCCTCCTCCTTGTCCTTCTCCTCCTCCTCCTCCTCCTCGTCCTCCCGCTCCCAGATAATGTTCCTCTCTCTCGTCCCTCCTCCTCCTCCTCCTCCGCCTCCTCCTCCTCGCCCCCCCTCATTCATTACACCTCCTCACTCCCTTCTCATCCTGATGCTCCTCATCGTTCTCCCCCTTATGTTTCCTCTCCTCTCCTCCTCCTCCTCCTTCTCCTCCTTCTTCTCCTCCTTCCCTCCTTGTTCTCTTTCTTCGGGAGAATGCGCGATGCGCCTTGCGCAGAGCAAAGATAATTTCATGTACTTCGCATCCGCCACCGTGCCATGAGCACGTGGTGGAGTGCCCCACTGGGCCCACGGCTCGAACCCTTCGGAATACTGCGTGCCAGACGCTAGAACACTCGATGGGCCAGTTCTCTCGGGCCCTCTCGGGATGTCGCCTGCACCTCCAGGAAGCCAACCCTTCATTTGAATACATGTAGTTGTGTCTTGCGCACGGCGTGGCCTCAGAGGGTCCGAGTGCTCAAAACCGATCCTGGTCAACGAAGACGGTTCCAAGAGCCCCCAGATTCCCCCAAAGCCCATTGGAGGCCGCCTAGAGACCCGCAGATGGTCCCTCTACAGCCCTTGCAACCCTACCCTCAAACCCACGACTGCCTCTGCCTATTTCATGCAAGATCGTAAGCGAACAAACTGAACGCCATGTCATGCCTCCCTTACTGCACACTATGACTATTACGCACCACCTCCCACCTCCAACCTCCCATACTACACAAGATGGATATTACGCTCCTCGCTCCCGTGAAGATGGCCAGGGAATCGCCCGACCCCCTCCGCGTTCTGTGTTGCTGTTCGCCAACAAGGTTCACTGTTTGATATCTCCTATTTCAGTGTCTCGAAACGATGCGTCCGCTGCAGTGTGGGCCTCATCTTAGGATCTGTGTTTTGCTCCCGTCGTTCAGAATTGCGCTCTCGTTCCAGCGCGGGCCACTTTTCTGGATCCGATTGCTTCCTCGTCGTTGTCGCCCCGCTCCTTTCCCCTCCCCCGCGTTCCCCTGGTCATCCTGCTCATGCCCCTTCTCCCACTCCAACTCCTGCTGCTGCTGATCCTCCCATTTTTTCTCCTTCCTCATTCTCTTTTCAATTGCCTCCTGCCCATCCTCCCGCTCATCCACCACCTCCTGTTCCAATGTACGCAACTCCCCTTTCCCAATCGAGCATGGCACGGTGAGATCCTTTTGGAAACTCCGGGTCCGCTATGGCACGCGCCAGCTGATAGAGACGAACTCAGCGCAATGGGAAGTGATTGGCAGGGGGGTAGGAGGTCAGATGTGGCGCGAGAGCACCTGGCTTGGCCCAGCCTCTCTCCCATCTCAGAGGTGCATGGAGCGAGCCTGGTCGCCGAGAGGCTGCTGAAGGCGATTCAACAACTGCTCGTAGACGGCCTTCGTCTGCTGGGTACGAGGCCGGTAGATCTGCATCTCCGTCACGTCCTTCCGAGAATACTCCTCCTCATCCTCCGTATCCTCCTCCTCATACTCCGCACCAGTAGCATCATTATAATCATCATCATCACCAACATCAACAACACCATCACGATTCACCACCGCGCCCCCTGACACATTGAGGGGTGGTCGATTGCCAAGGGCTGCCTGCTGTCTGGTATGGTCTGTAAATCTTTTAAGAGAACCCCCGCCGACCCCATGCACCACAACAACCTGCAGGAATCGCCCCCCATCCCTTGTAACAGAACTGGTTCCGAGCTCTCGAAACCACGATCGATCGTAACAAAAAATAGCCCCGCAATATCGAGGCCACGATCCTCCACAAAAACGATGCATCCTCGCTTCCGATGCCACGGTCTCTGTTAAACAGTGCACCGTCGGCGGCAGAAAACAATGAGAATACTCACCTGCCGAGATCTCTGTAGATAACGAATACAATTACATGTGCATGGTTCGATCGCGAGTGAGATACATGAAGAATACCATGCGGGAGACAACCGCTAGGCCACGGCATGCGAAAAACCAAACGGGAAACAAAACGGGAGACCATACGAAACACGGGTGCCCATACGGGAGACCCATACGGAAAACCATACGGGACACCATACGGGTTGCCCTGCGGGAGACAATGCGGGAGACCATACCAGAGACCATACAAAAAGCCTTGCGGGAAACCGTACAAGGGACCATACGGGGAACCATGCGACCAACCGTAAGGGACACGGAACGAGAATCCATGCGGGACACCATACTGGAGACCATGCGGGAGACGATACGGGAGACCAATCGGGAGACAATACGGGAAGCTATGCGAGAAGACCATACCAGCAACACCATCCGGGAGACCATACAAAAGATCTTGCAGGGGAAACCATACGGGAGACAATGAAAAAGGCCAGACGGGACTCCATACGGGAAAACAGACGAAACACGACGAAAAAGACCATGCGGGAGACAATACGGGATATCTCATACAAGAGACTATACGCGGAGAACCATACCAGAGACCATGCGAGAGACCACTGTTCAGTCGCGACTGCAATGTCAGACAATGGCCCAAGGCTTGGATCGTCACGGGTGGTGAACAACATTGTTTTTTCTGGTGTTTACTCCTTTTCGGTTTCCCGTCGCTCCAAAACAGCTGAGACACCCGAGATTGCCCCACGACGGCCAGGTTGGCCTTCAAGAGGACTGCAAGAAAGCCCAAGAGATTCCAAGACGGCCCGAGAGGCTTCCAGGACGGCATAAGAGGCATCCAAGACGGTCCAGAGAGGCCCGAGAGAGGGACCATGAACTGAAAATTCAAGCCTCCTGCCCCGAGCAGAGGCCAGAAGGCCCCCAGAAACCACCAAGAACCTGAAGAAGCCACCAGGAAATCTCAAATGAGCCCCAGGACCGTTCGAAGAAACCCAGAAGAGGCCCAATACGCCTCAAACGGCGCCTAAGAAGCTTCAGAACTGCTTACAACATGCCCCTGATAAAGTCCTACCACGACGCCCAAGAGGCTTATCAACCAACCAAATACATGCCTGGTACCACTTGGGACATGCAAGCGGCATGCTGCCAGTGGTAGTTCATTGGTACCGCTAGAGGCACGCAGACGACATGCCTCAAGTGGCACGTTGCCAGTACCACTTGAAATATACAATCGGTAAGCCTCGTATGGCTCCAGGCTGGTACTACTTGAAGCGTACCATGCCAGGTGCACGCTCGGTATGATAGAATTGGCACGTGCCAATTGCTTGTAGCATGCGCACAACGTGCTTCCAGTGGACGCCCAAGATGGCTCCCTGACGGCCAAAGGTGCCTCCAAGACGCCTCCAAAAGACGACCCAAGAAGCCCCACACATTGCCACCGGACACCCCAAACGGTCCCCCAGGAGGTTCCCAAAACGGCCTAATAGGGCTCCAAGACGGCCTAAGAGGCGCCCAAGACGGCCCAACAGGGCCCAAACATGGCCCCAAGAGGGGGACCACGAACGAACATTCTAACCGTCCGCCTCAACAGAGACCCAGGAGGCCCAAAGAGGCGCCCGAGCGGCCCCCGAGCAGCCCCAAGAGGCCCACAAGAGGCCCCCAAACGGGCCCCCCCAGTGCATCGAAACTGTCTCCAAGAGGCCCCCGAGAGGCCTCACACGAGATCCCAACGAATGTCCACGAAGCCTCAGACCCACAACCCTGGCACACTGGCGGGACGTGCCGAAGGTCATTCCTCCTCCTCCTCCTCCTCCGCAATCATCCTCCGTAATCCTCCTCCTCCCCACTACCCGATCCCCCTGTCCCGATCCCCACTCCTTCCTGGGACTAAGGGGCGGGGAGGGGGCAGACGGACGACTCTGGCGAGGCGAGAGAGTTGGGGGGATGGAGAGGGATTGGGAGTGAGGGGCACGGGGGGAGGAGAGGGGGAGGGAGAGGCATCGCGCGCAAGACGGAGGTCTTCAGGGTATGGTGACACGCAGGGTGCCACTATTTTGTGGTGGGAGCGAAAAAGTGGGGTGGAGGGGGAAGGGAGAGGACAAGCTAGGTGCGCTCGCGTCATATCTGACGTCCTACCCCTCCCTCCCATCCCTTACCATGGCGCTGATTTTCTCTATCCGCGGACGCGTGTCGTAGCGGACCTGTGGCTCCGCGCGCGCGTGCGTAGTGGGTGGTGGTGCACGTGCGTGCGTGCGTGCGTGTGTGCGTGGTTGTGTGGTGGTGGTGGTGGTGGTGGTGGTGGTGGTGGTGGTGGTGGTGGTGGGTGCTGGTGGTGGTGGTGCTGTGGTGGTGGTGGTGGTGGTGGTGGTGGTGGTGGTGGTGGTGGTGGTGGTGGTGGTGGTGGTGGTGGTGGTGGTGGCGCGCGGTGGTGGCGGGCGGATGGGCGCGCGAGAAAGAGGCCCGCGCTGGGGCGAGAACGCCATCCTGAACGACGGAGGCCAAACACCGATCCGAAAATGAGGCCCACGCTGCAGCGGGAGCACGATTCGGAACGATTCGGGAGCAGAAATGAGGCCGGCGCCGCAGCGAGAGCAGCATGTTGGAAAAAACGCAGGCGAAAACCCGTTTCCCGGGAATCCTGTGTGTAAAAAAACAGTGCGCGGGGGGGCGTCGGCCATCTTCGGGACGCCATTAGGGGAAGTGGGAGAGTATTTTCATATTGTGTAATTGTGGAAGGGAGAAAGTGGAGGGAAGGAAGGAAAAGGTGGAGGACGAGGAAATCGGATGGGAGGGGGAGCAGGGAGGGGGAAGGTGGAAGGGAGGATGGAGGGAAAGACGAGGGAGGGGAAGCGGCAGGGAGAAGGGGGAGGGACAGATCAGACGGAGGCGACATCAATGGCAAGGGAAGTGCAAAGCGAGGAGAGGCGCACGAATCCGTTGACGTCGACGCCGGCGGACAACGGCGGCGGTATCGACGACGGCTGCGGCAACACCAACGGCACGGGAAATTCAAGTCGAGGGGCGCAAAAGTCCGTGCTCAGCACAGTCTCGCCCTTCAGGATGTCCATCTTCGCCTTCTTCTGCACGACGGACTCGCCCGCCTGCTCAGGACGCGCAGCGGCAATAGGGGTTCACAACGTCCCTGCCAGCAGAATCATCTGTCCCTCCCTTTTGTTGAAAAACTTCTGGATGATGGTGTCAATCCCAACGGTGTCTACGACTCAGATTAGGACAATTGGTGTCAGGAACCTGGCTTCCAACTACATGCATGTCAACTCGACCTGGCATTTCAAGGTCTAATTAACCGCAAGAAGCGATTACGAACCCTCCTCTGGATGATCGCCACCACCAATGAACATCAGATCGGCGATCACTTGGGATGTCCTGGCGCGTGAGATTGATGCCCTTCACCAAATCCCTCCCTCGAGAGTCCCGGTCAGGTAGCCTTGGGGGAGTCCAAGTCAGGGGGCTCGGGGGACCCATCTGGTCAAGAAGTGTTCCCACACGTGCTCACATTGTACCAGATGGATGCTAGACGCCCCATGATGCTCCAAGACGTCCCACGATGGCCCCAAGACGGCCCAGAGGCCCACAAGATGGCCTGAATACGACCTGGGAAGAACCCCAAACAAGGCTCTCTGATGCAAACCACTGAACATTCTCAAATGAATTCTAATGATGATGATCGCACCCTTGCCGACTGCCGATGATGTTACTCTCAGAAGCCATGCACTTGGGCTTTTGAGAGAAGGGAGGGAGGGAGGGAAGGGCAAGCTAGGTGCGCTATCGTCACATCTGACGTCCTACCCCTCCCTCCCATCCCTTACCATAGCGTAGATCTCCTATGTATTCGCACAGTCGGATGTCGAGCAGGGCAATGATCCCAAGAGGGTACGCGGTCGATGGAAACACATGACGTAGAAGAGCACGGCAGAGCATCACATGTCATAGCATGGCGTGGCATTGCGAAGTGAAGCATGGCATCACAAAGCATTGCAACGTAAATCATGGCATCGAATAGCATCGCATTGCATGCCGTGGCATGGCACCAAATGACTTGGAGGGAAAGTGGCCCGTCTACGAGAGGACAGGGCCTGTCCAGAATGCCGGCGCCATGTCCTCCGCAAGCGTGCCTGCCCGACGCGGGATCTTTCGAAAGCCAAATGTCGTCCAGAGGCGCGGGAACGAGGCCAGCGCCAGTGGGAGCACGATTTTGAATGACCGAATCGCGGAAATGAGGGCGGCGTTGAAGCGGAAGCAGCATTGTGGAAGAACCAAAAACGACTAGATTGAAACATGATCGACCCACGAACCCAGAAAGAAATACAGAAATGTGGAACACGGATATTGATCGAGTTCGAGATTCCAAACAATTGTAATGCTCAAGAAAACGCTGGTGGTGTACCGAGGGGAGATGTTGCGCTGTGCTGTGATGATTGAAATGTGCCATGCCGCGATGAACTGTGCTGTGCTCACAGCGTTGTGGAACAGGTCGTTCTTGGCATCATAATCCTGACCGAACTGATCTGGATATTAAGTTCGAGCTGTCTGGACGCATATCTCGAGCTGGTCGCAATCGAACCGCGAGGGGCGCTCGACCAACTCGAGCTCGAGATTTGATTCAGTTTCGCAACGGGACGAGCCAAGAGGGGGCGACTCCGAACCGACGCGAAACGCACCGAGAGTGGACGGGCCGAAGCTCGGCGAACCAAAACGACACGAACTGCAACAAGACGAACCGAAACGATAGTACGGATCGAGACGAAAACAACACCGACCCGAATCGAAGCGAGACAAAACAAACCAAAACGAACACGCTTCGGTTCACCATCCTGAAACGGCATGGCGTCGCCTGGCGAGGGAGCCGCACTCCGAGGTGCCAGGAACGGAACGGAACGCCTGTGCGGGCACGCGCCCAGGCCCCTTAAGGGCGAGGCGGGTGAGGCCATGGCCTCGCATGAGAAGCTGCGTGCGTCGGGGGTCTACTCAGGACAATGCGTACTTCAGGAGCTGATTTCCCGACAGTCCCCACTCATCCGTTTTCTAATGATGTAGCCGCGTCGTCTCGTTGAAATCGTAGTGCGTGTGGTATGAGACTGTCGGAGAAACCCGTGGGTTTCATCGTCCGTTCTGTGATCTCGAACTCATAGCAAAACACGTTCGAGTTGAACTCCTCTGACCTCCAATCCACTGCACATGGGTGTGGGAGCACTGATGTTCTCATGAATTCTGTGACACATCCGTCAGGTACCACTCAAGAAACAGATCACCACGTGCGATCGAAGGCCCACACGCGCTCTGTGACACACCCAAGAGATCAGCTAGAGGTCGATTGGTGGGGGAAGTGGGAACTCAAATGTGAGAGGTTGGAGGTCTGAATGTTGTGCTGGTGGAGGGTGGTGGTTGATTGGTGGAGGTGGAAGTCGAGAGTCGATTTGGCGTAATGTGTTATTGATGCGTGCGGTGCTGCACTGTGCTGCGTCGTGCTGTGTTGAACTGTGCTGTCCTCTGTTGCGTTGTGGATTAAACCATCCGTGGCGCCCGAATCCTGTCCGAACTGATCTGGATTTTAAGCTCAAGCTGCCTACGCGCATGGTTCGCGCAAATCTGGCTGCAGTCGTAACATGCGGGGCGTTCAACCAGCCCGACCACAAGATCTGTTTCAGTTCCGAAGTGGGACGAACCAATCGGGGGGCGAATCCGAACCGAAATGAAACGCACCCAGACGACGACAAGGCCCCCGCACGACACCTCCTCAAACAATGCGAAACTAGCGTTTCGCGGAAAGCATCATCAGTAAATCCTGTAGAGGGGGACGTTCGCTGCACGCGAAGCCCTCGCTCGAGCGTTTCGCTCTAGACATCCCCAACACATTCTCATGTTAGTAATTTGCATGGGCGACCTGGACACGTGAAAACAACCGTTTCGCTCGAGATATCCCCAACCCATCCTCATGTTAGAGATCTCCCTGGGTGAACTGGAACAAGCGTGAAAACACGGGGGGGCCCTTTCGACCCAGAGCGGAGCAAACGTGAAGTACGTGGGTCCCTTTCGCCCCAAGGCGGCAGAAATGTGAAACCACGTGGGCACCTTTCGCGCCAGAGCGGGACAAGTGTGAAAACACAAGGGTCCCTTTCCCCCGAGAGCGGAACAAATGTGAAAACGCGTAGGTCCCGTTTGCGCCAGGGCGGAACACGCGTGAAAGCACGTGGGTCTCTTTCACCCCAGGGCGGAACAGACTTGAAGCCACATGAGTCCCATGCGCGCCAGAGCGGAAGAAAACGAGAACAAGCGTTTCGCTCGGGACGTTCTCAACACCTCCTCATGCTAGACATCCGCCTGGGCGACCTGCACACGTGAAACCAAGCGTCTCGCTCGAGACAGCCTCAAGACATCTTCATGCTAGGCATCTCCCTGGGCGACCTGGACGCGTGAAAACAAGCGTCTCGGTCGAGACTTCCTCAATACGTCCTCATGCTAGACATCCGCATGGGCGACCTGCACACGTGAAAACAAGCATGTCACGTGAGACATCCTCTGAATTCTTGTCCCCAGGAGAGGAACACTATATAATACAAAAGAAACGTTTCGCTCGAGATATCCTCAACAACTTCTTGTTCGCCCGAGACATGCGCAACGAACGACATGTGTACTTTGAACATGTGTTTCGTCGATCGGGATACACCAAAATCGTTTCGCTCGGGACATCCTCAACTGTTTAATTCGCCAGTCCTACGCGACCTCGTTATTGATGTCAAAATGGTCTCGCCGGTCCTACGCAAGTCGAGGCTGGGCATTGCGTTCACCAGCTAAAAGAGAACCCTGGGCCGATGCCCTGTTTTGGAAACACACACACAGGAAACAACAAATAATGAAATCCCGTATAAAAACATGATCGACCAACGAACATGGAAAATAATTGAGAACTGCGAGGCATGGAACCGTTTTCTTAAGAACCTCAATTGCATATGCAACTGAGCGATGCCTGGGGGACATGCCAGGGGGACGCGCCGAGGAACGTCACAAGGGACGTGCCAGGGGACGTGCCATGGGGACGTACCGCAGGACGTGCCAAAGGGACGCGCTACGGAACGTGCCAATGGACGTGCCACGGACTTGCCAAGGGACGCGCCGCGCGACGTGCCAGGGGGACTCGCCACGGGACGCGCCACGGGACGTGTCAGGGGACGCGCCAGGCGAAGCGCCAGGGAACGTGCCAAGGAACGCCTCAGGGAACGTACCGCGGGACGTCCCTGATCTAGGGCCAGGATCCCTCTTGAATTGCGCTGCGTCCGCGCTCCCAGGGCCACGATCCATCGTAAATTACGTTGCGTCCGTCCTCCCTGGGCCACGATCCCTCGTGGTTACGCTCCCTCGTGAATTACGCTGTGACCGCGCTTCCAGGGCCACGTTCCCCAATAAATTACGCTGTGTCGGCCCCCCCCAGGCCAGGATCCCTTTTGAATTACGCTGCGTCCGCTCTCACTAGATTACGCTGCGTCCGCGCTCCCAGGGCCACGATCCCTTGTGAATTACGCTGCGACCGCTCTCCCTGGGCAACGATCCCTTGTAAACTACGCTGCGTCCGCGCTCCCAGGGCCGCGCTCCCACGTGAATTACGCAGTGTCCGCGCTCCCAGGGCCACGATCCCTCATATATTACCCTGGGTTCGCGCCTCCAAGGCCAGGATCCCTCATCAATTACGCTGCGTACGCGCTTCCAAGGCCAGGATCCTATGCAAATTACACGGCATCCGCGCTCCCAAGGCCACGATCCTTTGTAAATGACGGTCCGACCGCACTCCCAGAACTACATGGGCACCCTGGGGCGCCCAAGCCTTTCAAGCGCTGCAAGACAAGCGCTTCGCCAGGGACATCCTCAGACATTCGGCACGCAGGATGCGCTATCCTCGAGCGGGCACGCAAAAAGGCAACCCTTCCTTCTGCAAATCCTCAAAATTACTGCGCGCGGGACGCGCCATCCTCGAGCGGGCACGCAAAAGGTCAACTTCCCTATGCTTTTACAACGGCCCGTCGACGATATTAGGGTCCCCATACTTTCTGTTATGTTAAAAGGTTCTGCGCAAAACGCTCCGCATCCTCTTTTTTACGAGGGAAAGCGGGGGTCTGCGGACCCCGTTAAATAGGCAACGGAGGTCCAACTTGGAGGTGCAGTTTCCTCGCGCGGGCACGCGCGAAACCCATGTGTTCCACTTTCGTGTTTGTTGCAGGCCCGTCTCAAATCGATTCCGGGGGTACACCTATTTAAATTAGCCTGGCGAAAGACCCGACCATAAGCAACTGTGCGAACCACAATTGTGAATACCGTATTCAGTGGAGCTCCATGTGGGGCCGCGAAACGTGTGAGGGGTGTGCCGAAATCTGTGAGGCGGACGCATGCGGGCGTTGGCTGGGGCATTCGGTGGAACTCCCTATGGGGCCACGATACGTGTGAATGCTGTGCCGAAAGTGGTGTGGCGGGCGGATGCGGTCGGCGGCGCTGTGGCATTCTGTGGAGCTCGCTATGGGGCCACGAAACGTGAGGGGCGTGCGTCGACATGGCTGTGGCGGACGCACGCGGGCGGTGGGGCCTTCGGTGGAGCTCCCTGTGGGGCCACGAAGCGTGTGAGGGGTGTGCCGAAATGGGCGTGCGTGACGCATGCGAGCTGCGCCACTGGGACCTTCGGTGGAGCTCCCTATGGGGCCACGAAACGTGTGAGTGGTGTGCCGAAATGGGTGTGCGTGACGCATGCGAGCTGCGCCACTGGGACCTTCGGTGGAGCTCCCTGTGGGGCCACGAAACGTGTGAGTGGTGTGCCGAAATGGGTGTGCGTGACACATGCGGGCTGCGCCACTGGGACCTTCGGTGGAGCTCCCTGTGGGGCCACGAAACGTGTGAGTGGTGTGCCGAAATGGGTGTGCGTGACGCATGCGGGCTGCGCCACTGGGACCTTCGGTGGAGCTCCCTATGGGGCTACGAAGCGCTGTACTAGGTGGGTGAATCGTAGGGAGGGGTGAAGAGGGGGAAGAGGAGAGGAGGGGAGTGACGCGGGCCGCTGTCTCTTCAAAACGAGGACCCAACACCACAAGATGGTTGGGATAAACCTGGGCCCCAACCCGTTCAGGAAAAGCGATACGCGGAGAGGACGGGGGACTGTCCGGACAGTGCCAGGTGAGAGCGGAGAGTAGCATGAATAATGTGAACTTGTGGAGGGAAGAGGGGGGAGACAAGGATGGGAAGAGAGAGGGGGAGAAAAGACAGGTGATGGAAACAGGTGGAGCAAAGGGGGATGGGGATGATAACGAATACTACCATTCCTCCGTCAGCCAGGGTCCTCACGCAAGTCGCGCAGGGGGTCAAATCAATCACACCAGGGTGAACGTTTCGCCGCAGTTCCGCACCGAGGCGAGGCAAGGACGGTTGGCCAGAGACCTGTTCGTGGATGTCTCATAGCCGCACACCTTGGTCGTATGACTCAATTCTCCCTTACGTCTGCAGGGAACTGCGCAAGGGGAAATAAAACTAGCTGAGGGCGTGTGGAGCTAACCGACACAAGACTCGCGGGTCGATGCCCAGCCTGCTACTACGGGCCCGCGCCCGTTCGAAGGGCCCCCAAGGCTGGTGCCCACACTCAGAGCAGGGGCTCGTGCCCGATCGCATTAAAAAGAAAGGCGGGAATATATTCGCACATCCACAACTGCTACGCCAAACATTCAACCATATGCTGGCCTCTCGTTCCCGATGTGTGCTTGACTGCTCCACTACCGTGCCATGTTCTCCCTCGCGTGTTCGCGTGTTGCCTGCGGACGAGAATGGGGGAGAAGGGAAGGAATGGACGGTATGAAAGCGGAAAGGAAAGAAAGGGGGCAACATAGAGCAGGAGGAAAGAGATCCTGAGGGGGGGCGGAGGGATGAGAGGAGGGCATGAACTATTGTCATGCCTTTGACGGGCGCTGGCAGGCCTTGGCTCGCTCCTCCTGTTTCCTTTTCTTCTTCTCCTTCAGCTCCTCGAGCTCCTTGGGCTTCTCGTACTGCACCAGGTCGCCTGGTGAGGGGAAGACCTCTTGCCAGAGATATGAAGAAGAAACCCCATTATCGAGTCCCTTCCTGCGCGGTCCTCCTGCTCCACCACCACCACCTCTTCCTCCTGCCAGCCGTGTGGCCCCCAAACCCGCCCCACGTTCGGACTCGTGTCCTCAAACAAAACACAATACACCCAAGACAACACCAACATGGGATGACCCGACACAGCCCAATATTGGCCTGCAAGATGGTGAGCGACGACCCAACTCGGATAAATACGGCCTCCAGCATTCTCAACGCCCACAAAACCGCCACAAGACAGCCCGAGGTGACCACGGACCCCCTCCGTAAAAATGCCCCCGAGACGCCACAATCGTCAAAGGAGCCGGGCGTGCTCCATGGATGGTTTCCGAATCGCCATTCCGCCTCCGAGCGGCTTCTCCGGCCCAAAAATGATCCCGAATTGTCCGGAAGGCGCCACGAGCCGGAAAAGACTTCAACGGCCTCTAACAGTACACGGGAGGCCCAAAACCACCACCACTACCACCACAGACGAACGCCCAGAGGGACGCGTGGGCACAATGAGCTGCAGCAGCGGCAACCACCAGGAAAGTTATGATTACACACAGAGGAAGAAGGGAAACAATGAGGAACGCAATAATGCACGTAGCGTTGTGGCTGCGCAAGTAATCTAGGATGGTTGTGCAAACTTATGCACTGACGACGTCCACTGCTGCCAGGGTCAGCCCCTCATGCGGCGCGCAGACCAATCTCTCAGAGACCCGCATGCATCAAAAGTAAACGCTGTACACGTGAATATGATGCATGGCCAGCAATATTACTGCACAGCTTCTTTAGGCTGGAAGGAAACATCTGCGGTGACGGTAGCGCTGAGGCGTTCTGCAACACGCTCGCGTTACTCACCAAATGTATATATATATATATATGTATGCCGAAAGCCTGCCTAAAATACGCCCCATAATCCTGCAGTGCAAAGCGTCCAGACGGGCGCGACCAGCCTTGAGCAGCCATCGAGAATGGAAAGATTACAAGAGCTTGCTCAAAACAACGTTGTCGTAGACCTTGTGATTTCGTTTCCATCAAATTGAAGTGTGCGGCCACCATTTGTCAAGGTGCTTTGACGTTTACACTGCTTCCCCCAACCAGCTGGACCGTCCTGGCGTGGCTTTGCCATCACGCGTGACCAAGCCCCCCAAGGACACTGCGGCGCGCACGGCTCTAACATCGCTTCCATATGGCATCGTAACTGGTGCGCGTATCGAAATCTGCGTTTGCACCGTTCTGCACCAATGGAGTTCCAAACCATAGTTACGCCCTTGTTCCACGATGACGTTAAGCAGAGCCTGAAGATTCGCTCGAAGTCGAAATACTAAGAATGTGTCATCCACATACAAAAGATCCCGGGTCCTCAACAAATCGCGAAGATTGCCTAAGATGGCCTCCAAGTCCGCCCAAGATGGTCCAAGACGGCCGGAGAGAGTCCAAGACGGCCCAAGACGGCCCAAGAGGCCCCCCCAGAGGCCTCCAAGACGGCCCAAGAGGCCTCCGAGAGTTCCTCCAGGAGGGCCCGAAGAGGCCAAAATCATTGATTTTCCCTCGGTGTTTGAAGGATTTGGGAATTTGCTTCTTCTCGGCATTCCGACGGCTCAAGACGGCCCAAGTGGCCTCCAAGATGGCCCAAGAGGGCCCCAAGACGACCCAAGAGGCCTCCAACACGCCCAAGATGGCCTCCACCCAAGATGGCCTCTAAGACGGCCCTGGAGCCCTCGAAGACGTCCTCCAAGAAGGCCCGAAAGGGTCCAAATGGCCTCCAGACGGCCAAGATGACCTTCAAGATGCCCACGTGTTCCCCGAAGGCTTTCTAAACCGATTCGGGAAACACATGGTCCGATAGCTTGGCAGGTCTGGCCTCAACATTCGGTCACATAGGCGCTTCCAAAAAGGCAGGGGGCGGGGGCGTCTTCCATCCGCCGCCCCCTTTCGATTTCTCAAAAGGGTGCCTGGCGTACTAGACTATTACAGTTTTGGTTTTGGTTCTTTTTCCCCAAAAGCTCCCCCTGGGGCTTCGGTCCGTCCCGCCGGCCACCCGGAAACTCCCCAAAACGCATCCGTCGTGCCTCCGTCGTCGCCAAAAACTGCCGTTTCGCTCGGGACATTCTCAACAGATCGCGAAGATGGCCCAAGATGGCCTCCAAGTCCGCCCAAGATGGTCCAAGACGGCCTCCAAGACGGCCCAAGAGTCCAAGACGGCCCAAGACGGCCCAAGAGGCCCCCCAGAGGCCTCCAAGACGGCCCAAGAGGCCTCCAAGAGGGCCCCATGACGGCCCAAGTGGCCCATGATTCGCCGTAGGCGTCTTAGATCCGCCGCCCCATGTCGATTCATCGCAGGGATGCCCCCTGTCGATTCATCGCAGTGGTGCCTGACGTGCTAAACCATCTCGGTTTTGGTTTTGATTCTTTTTCCTAAAGAACCCCCCCTGGGGCTTCGGTCCGTCCCGCCGGCCACCCGGAAAGAACCTCAATGGCGGAAAAAATCCTCTAAGACGGCTCAAGATGGCGTCAAGATGGCCACGTTGGCCCAAGATGGCCTCCAAGATGGTCCAAGATGGCCTCCAAGTTCGCCCAAGATGGTCCAAGACGGCCTCCAAGACGGTCCAAGACGCCCCAAGACGGCCCAAGAGGCCCCCCAGAGGCCTCCAAGACGGCCCAAGAGGCCTCCGAGAGGTCCTCCAGGGAAGCCAAAAGAGAGGCCCGAAGAGAGGCCTCCCGAGAGGCCTCCAAGACGGCCCGAAGAGGCCAAACTGATTGAGTGTCCTTAGATGTTTGAAGGATTTTGGCATTCGCTTCTTCTCGGCTTTCCGACGACCCAAGACGGCCCAAGAGGCCCCAAATATCATCCCCACAGCGCCAAAGAGGCCTCCAAGATGGCCTCAGGACTGCCCAAGAGGCCCCCAAGACGGCCCCAAGAGGGCACAAAGACAACCCAAGACGCCTCCAAGACGCCCAAGATGGCCTCTAAGACGGCCCTGGAGCACCCCAAGAGGACCCCAAGTCGGCCCAGAAAGGCCCCCCAAACGGCTTCCGACGGCGTCAGACGGGCCAGGAGCCCACCAAGATGGCCGAAGTTGGCTCGAAGCTGGCCCATGACGGCCCAAGAGGCCTCCAAGAGGGCCGCCAGGACGGCCCGAAAATGCCCCAATCATTTATTTCCCATGGGTTTTTGAAGGATTGTGGCATCTGATTTTTGTTCGGCCTTCCGACGGCCCGAGACGGCCCAAGTGCCCCCAAAGATCGCCCAAGAGGCCCAAGACGGCCCCAAGAGGCACCCAAGACGGCCCAAGAGGCCTCCAAGACGCCCAAGATGGCCTCCAAGACGGCCCAAGAGCCCTCCAAGACGTCCTCCAAGAAGGCCCGAAAGGGTCCAAATGGCCTCCAGGCGGCCAAGATGACCTTCAAGATGCCCACGTGTTTCCCGAAGGCTTTCCAAACCGATTCGGGGAACACATGGTCCGATAGCTTGGCAGGTCTGGCCTCAACGTTCGGCCACATAGGCGCTTCCAAAAAGGCAGAGGGCGGCGGTGACTCGCCGCAGGCGTCTTCGATACATGAATTCAGATACATGCATCCATACACGCACCTGCGCTACACATAAGCATACAAACTGTATTCACGTATGTAACAATATGAAGAAAAGGATAGAGAGAGAGAGCGATATATAGAGCGAGAGAGCTCAGATTCGCGCGGTGACCGCGGGCGGCGCCTGGCGGACAAGCGGTCGTTGACAGGTGCTCCGAGCCCTGATGGCAGGGGCGCAGCATTAGGAACCGTTGACGAGATGGGACGACCCTGGACGCGCGCCATGGCGCAGCACTCGACTGCTTGGGATGGACGGAAGCTCCGAGCGGCGCGCCGCTCGCGAATGCCGGGAGGCTCGCGGGACAGAGGCCAGGCGATGGGTTACTCCTTGGCGGGGCGCCTCCACGCCCGGAGAGGGCCCCCACCACGAGGTACTTCTGGCGCAAAGGGATCGACGAGGCGCTGCCAGCTGGGCCGGGCCGCCGTGTGAAGACGAAAATTTGGCGTGAAACGTGCCGGGGCACTAAGAGGCCGGGCACGCGGCTCGACCGGCTACTGCACGCGGGCGCGTGCGCAGCGAGGAGCTGGCAAAGGGCGGCCGCGAGGTCGGCATGCCTGCACATCGTAACGTCCAGGGCGGCGCGGGCGCTAGCGGCTAGTGACCGCGCTGGTGGCCGCCTCAGCAACGGCGGAAGCGTGGCTGTGGCGTTGGAGAGAGCGTCGAGGCATCACGAGGGCGTGAACCCTGCCTTGACCGGCGGCGTGGCTGGCATCGAGGCGTTGTGCCTCGGCAGCGGTAGCCGATGGGCTAGCGGCAGACGGGGCAACCAAAGCTGACAGGGTCTACTTCGTGGGTGACCCAGGGGGCTTTGTGCGCCTGAACGAGGCCAGGCGAAGCGACCACATCGGCAGCAAGCAGTTGACAGGAGGCAAGGGGTTCTACCTTCGCGATCGACCTCAGTACAAACCTGAGTGGTCGCGTCCTGGGGACGGATTCGCGTAAGATCCGAGGGAGGCCCCCCGAGCCGGTGGAGGGCCGCGGTGGGCACTGGGGCCAAGGGGTGAGGGAACCTGCGCGTCAGTGTTGTGCAGGGCACCCTGGGGCCCGTGAAGGGCAGGCAGCCCCGAGCCTGGCCTGACCTCCCGCACTGGAGGGGCGATCTGCGGGATCGGCGTCAGGTTCGGCCATTCTTTGGCAGAGGGCCCGCGCTTGCAGCTGGGACTGGCGTTGGGGTGGTGGTGCTGCCTGAGGCAGTGGACGCGGGAAGCGAGTCGTCTGGGTTGGGCAAGTCGCCGCCCAGCCCGAGAGAGTCGGAGAGAACCCCGGGACGACTTTGGGCCAGAAAGCCGAAATTCGGCCAGCTTCGCTTGGCCGCCAGAAGAAGCGACGGCCCCGTCCGCGCCTGGGGGAGCGGGCGGACCAGCGTCTTGGTGGTCGAGGGAACCACGGGAGCCGAAGGGATCGTAGTAATCTTCGTCGTCGGGGTGAGATTCACCCCAAACTGCCTCTGAGTCAGCCAGGTGGATGACAGCGGCATGGACGTCCTCTGGGGGGGGCCGGGAGGCCGCCGCCGATAGAAGGGTGCGGGCCCGTCCCTCGGAATTCGCCTTGGGTGCACCCAGCACGGCGATGCGGGATGGTGACTCCAATGGTGACGGCCATGCTGCGCAAACCGGCGGCGAACTGTGTCGGTCTTTAGCAGCCTGGATAAACTCGGCGGGCACCTCGTGAAAGGCGACCGCCCCTGTTGAACAAGTCGGACATGATCGAACTTAAACCACCATCTATGCTGGCTTGTCCCTCGCTTTGTGTACCTAAGTATGGCGAGCGGGAGCCCACCAGTTAAGGGCGCCTGGAACCGTCAAGGAAAGCTTGATTGTCGACGAAGGTGTGGACAGGCCTCTCGGCCGTTGAGATACGGTGGAGATGGGGGAGAACGAGAAAGAGAGAGAGAGAGAGACACACAGGGAACGCAGACAGAGAGCGAGAGAGAGAGAGAGCGCGAAATGCAACCAAACATAAGAAAGGGAGGAGAGGGAGATCGGGAGAAAACCTCTGCGTCCAACCCCGTTCCCCATTATCATCCATCTCCGTCCTCCTCACCCATCCCTCCTCCTTTCCCCTTCCCTCCTCCCAGCTTTCCCCTCCTCCTCCCCCCTCTTCCCGCCCTCCCTCCTCCCACATCTTCCCACATCCCTCCTTCTCATTCCTACCCCTTCTCCTCCGTCCTTCCCCTCCCTGCCTCCCCGCCGCCCCCGTCCCGACCTCCTGCCCACGTTTCCCCTGGAGGAGGCATGGCGCGACTCGCCCATCTTGTTGTAGACCCTGCCGCGCAGCGACTCGGGCTCTCCGGTCGGCTCATTCTGCGACGGAGCGGCACCTCTCGGTGCGGACGTGCGCCCCCCCTCCGCCCCAATCCTCCCAGTCGTCGTCCTCGTCCTCGGCCTGATCCACCTCTTTCTCTTGCAGCCTTCTCACACGACTCTGCGAAATGAACTGCGACAGCGGTACACGAGAACCAGCAGCAGGAGTCTCATCACCGTCCAATCACTCTTGGTGGGCTCGGTCTGACCCTCCCGTGGCCTGATAGGCTGCTTGGGAGAGGTCGTGGCAAACTACAAACGTATTCTTCGGTCTGGAAAAGTCCAACTTATTGCAAGGTGTCGCTCGCCTCTTCTGTATTGGACGCCCACTGACGCGAGAGCAGACACGCATACAGAAAACAAGCAAAGCGAACATTTGACAATGCAATGGGGACAGATCCAACATGTTTGCGCGTCAGCCATTCAACAACCAACAAAAACATGATCGACCCACGAACCTGGAAAGGAATATATAACTGTAAGGCATGCCAACGTTTCAAAGACATCTGATTGGGCCATGGGCAAATACAATGCTGAATGCGTCGACCTTGATGTACCGTGCCGAGAGCTGTGCTGTGCGGCGCCGTGCTGAATTGCGATGTGCCATGCCGCGATTGTGCTCAATGTAGCGTTGTGGGTCGAGTCCTCCTTTGCATCCGAGTCCTGACCGAACTGATCTGGATCTTAAGCTCGAGCTGCCTGGGCACATGGTAGCTGCCCCAGAGCTAATCGACAGAGGGAACATGCCAGGAGGACGCGCCGCGGAACGTCCCAAGGGACGCGGCACGGAACGTCCCAAGGGACGCGGCAAGCGACGTGCCAAGGGACGCGCCATGGGGACGCACCGCGGGACGTGCCAACGGGGCGCGCTACGGAACGTGCCAATGGACGTGTCGCGTGACGTGCCAGGGGACGCACCGCGCGACGTGCCAGGGGAACTCGCCACGGGACGCTGCGCGGAACGTGCCAAATTGCAATGATGAATGTATCGATCTTGGTGTACCGTGCCGAGGGCTGTGCTGCGCTGCGCCGTGCTGAATTGCGATGTGCCATGCCGCGATTGTGCTATGAATAGCGTTAGATCGAGTCCTCCTTTGCATCCGAGTCCTGACTGAACTGATCTGGATCTTAAGCTCGAGCTGCCTGAGCACATGGTAGCTGCCCCAGAGCTATTGGACAGAGGGAGCATGCCAGGAGGACGCGCCGTGGAACGTCTCAAGGGACGCGCCAGGCGACGTTCCAGGGGACGTGCCATGGGGACGCACCGCGGGACGTGCCAAAGGGACGCGCTACGGAACGTTCTAATGGACGTGCCACGGTATGTGCCACGGGACGCACCGCGCGACGTGCCAGGGGGACTCGCCACGGGACGCTCCGCGGAACGTGCCAAGCAACATGCCAAACTGCAATGTGAAGGGTATCGATCTGGATGTACCGTGCCGAGGGCTGTGCTGTGCCTGGGCGACCTGGACACGTGAAACCAAGCGTTTCGTTCAAAACATTCTCAACACATCCTCATGCTAAACATCCGCCCGGGCAGCCTGGAAACGTGCAAACAAGCGTCTCGATAGAGACTTCCTCAACACATCCTCATACTAGAAATCTACCTGGGCGACCTGGACGCGTGAAAACAAGCGTCTGGTTCGAGACATCCTCAACAAGTCCTCATGCTAGACATCTGCCTGGGCAACGTTTCGCTCGAAACATCCTCAAAACCTGGGCACGTGAAAACAAGCATCTCACTTGAGAGGTCCTCTGAATTCTGACCCCGAGGGGGTAAAAATGTAATACAAAACAAGAATTTCGCTCAAGACATTCTCAGCAATTTCTGAAACCACAAGCGTTTCGCTCGGGATATCCTCAAATTTCAATTCGCCTAGGGGCTGGGGGAAACTTACTAGAAGAGAACCCTGGGCCGATGCCCTTCCCGGGGAAACAAAATAAAACAAGCACGAATAATGCCCTGGCTACGCTTACGCACAAAGCCGCTGCTGCCGTCACCGGAATATGCCAACACGGTCACGCCACAAGCGCTGCGATCGTCACCTTGCCTGGCGCCAGAAACCAAGCACTTGTGTTCGATTGCTCGTCCATCGCTCGTGCTGATCGGACTTTTGCGAATCCAAGATGCTATGAACAGGAAGGCCCGTCGCCTTATCGACCCAAACGTTGAGAACCTCGGCGTAACATACAGCATGATGTCGAATGCGAATTTGAAACCATGTGCCTTTAACCCACACACGTTCCGAAGGCACGCTAAACCCGCACGAAGACAGAGCGAACTCGTAACCTTTTCAAGCACTGCTTTCCCAACTCGTTGCGGGTACGCACACGAATTACGCTACCGAGGAACCCCACATACTTATCATTTGTCTTGCGTGATGGTAGCTGACGTGGAACTTGCGAGCATGCTGCTCGTGGCCGTTGCTTCGCCGACATCGAAGGCGGCGCGGTTCAACCCTCAGGGGCCTGACATGCCGTGCCAACAGAGACGATTACAACGCCAAAGGGTCCACACCGCGCTGAGGGACCACCGCTTGCGCACCCCCTGTGGGGTCGAGAATATGCCACGCCTGCTACGCCCTGGACGACCGTGACGGGTAGCGGCGGCGCTGAGGGACCCCCCCCTGCGCACCCCCTATGGTATCAAAAATATGCCACGCCTGCTATGCCCTGGACGGCCGTGGCGGATAGCGGCCGCGCTGAGGGACCACCCCCTGCGCACCCCTTCTGGTGCCGAGAAATCGCCAGCCCTGCTATGCCCTGCGACATTGGCGCGTATAGAGACCGCGCTGAGGGACGACCCCCTGCGCACCCCCTCTGGTGTCGAGAAAGTGCAACGCCTGCTGGGCCCTGCGACATTGGCGCGTATAGAGACCGCGCTGAGGGACCACCCCCAGCGCACCCCCCCCTGGTGTCGAGAAAGTACCCCGCCTGCTAGGCCTTGCGCTGTGCTGTGTGAGAAGGAGAAGGACGAGGAAGAGGAGGGGAGGTGTGCGGGAGACGCGGGTGCGACGAGGCAGGGATGAAAACCAGAACCCCACGAACATGTGGGGAAAAACAAAACCACGCGGGCACTTCGCGCGCGCTTCGGTTCTTGCGCAGTCTGGGGCAGCGGCGCAACATCGGGCGGGTCAGGGCCAAATCGCGAAGCCCCAAATTGCCACAGACCGCGGAGGCGAAGGCACCCCTCCATCACGCCATGCGCATTCTATTCCCCCTGCTCCTCCTTCTCGTTATCCTTCTACTAACCATAGCTAGATCTCCTTCCACGATTCTCAAGTCATCATTATCTGCTCCTCATCTCTCCCCGTCCTTCATCCTTTACCACTTTATGAATCCACTTTTCCACGTATAACTCTGTTGTTTCTCATCCTCCGCCGACTCTTCTTCCCTCCTCCCATGCGTTCACCTCTCTCTCTCTCTCTCCATGGCCTCCTTGTCCGCATCACACATCCATCAGAATCTTCATCCCTCGAAGCGACTGATTGTGACACCTATGTATATACAAGTCGGATAGGCTCCCATCCCTTCCCTCTCCTCTTCTGAATCGACCCACAAACTGCATCCCTACCTCGGCATCCCGAAGGTCAAGGCGCACTGCGCGCTAGCTCCCATACGGCCCATACGAACGGAAATAAGAAGGGTGCTGAAGGACATCCCGCGGAACTTTGGGGCTAGCCTCGGGTGAATGAGGGCCGTTCTGTGGGGCCTTCGAACTGTTCGCGATCGGCGTGGGCGAATATTCAATCTGACATGGTCAAGTTTGGGAAGCAAGGTTATTTTGGGGATTCTGGGGGGGGGTTCTCTCGGGGCGCCCTGGGGGGCCCTTGGGACAGAGGGGTCGAAATGTCTGTTCGATCCCCCCGCCTGGGCCCACTATTGGAGCCGTCTTGGGGCCTGTTGGGACGCCTTGGAGGCCGCTACGGCAATCTTGGGACCTCTTGAACCGCGCTGGGGCTAAAGTAGATGTCCTTCGGGCCGTCTTGGACCGATCTCGGCGGCCTTTTGGGCCCCGTTGGGCCGCGGGGAGAAAAGGTGATATACCGGGGGACGGTCAGATAAAACGAAAATTGCCCCGGGCAAATTAGCACCCATACCCATGACCCTCCAGCCCCTTAAACCGGGCGATATCAGATAGAGCGCGTGCCATCTCTGAGGGCAGACCATAGGAACAACGCGGAGGGGGACAAACAGATAGCATACGCCCAAGAGGAGGCAGGGCGGGGGGGGCGGCGGCTCCGCGGCTGCGAGGATGTCCCGAGCGGCGGTGCCGCGGTTGTGAGGGTGTCTCAAGCGGCGGCGCCGCGGATGTGAGGATGTCTCGAGCAGCGGCTCCGCGGCTGCGAGGATGTCCCGAGCGGCTGTGCCGCGGTTGTGAAGATGTCTCGAGCGGCGGCGCCGCGGATGTGAGGATGTCTCGAACGGCGGCGCCGCGGTTGTGAGGATGCCCCGAGCGGCGGCGCCGCGTTTGCGAGGATGGCCCGAGCTGCGACTCCGTGGCTGCGGGGATGTCCCGAGCGGCGGCGCCGCGGATGTGAGGATGCGTCGAGCGGCGAGGATGCTCCGAGCGGCGGCGCCGTGGTTGCGAGGATCTCCAAGGCGGCGACTTCGAGCGACGTCGCGATGCCCCGAGGGGAGGGGGTGCACCAGGCAGATAGCACACTGCCCCGAGGGGGGAACGCCCTCGCTCCTCCTCCTCCTCCTCCTCCTCCTCCTCCTCCTCCTCCTCCTCCTCCTCCTCCTCCTCCTGATCCTTATCATCGTTCCTCCTCCTCCCCTTCCTTTTCCTGTTGCTCCTTGTGCTGCGCCCCATCGTCACTCGACGCGGGGCAGGAAACGCACAATGTTTTGTCATGGGGATGATACCCCCCCTCGTGTTCCTCATCCTCTTCCTGCTGCTCTCGTGCTCCTCGTGATCCTCCTCCTCCTCCTCCTCCTCCTCCTCCTCCTCCTCCTCCTCCTCATCCTCCTCCTACTCCTCCCTCTCTTCTTCCTCCTCCTCCTCCTCCGCCTC